CGTGTCACTGTTTACAAACAAGCGTCTATCCATGAGCCTTTGCGTTTTTAGCGTGTGTTGTTATCGCCGCTTGGGACTCGATTCCCGCGCGTGCACATGTGACGACCCTCCCGCTTTAACTGTTAAACTTAAGTGTTTGTAATTAGTGTTTTTGTTAGATAAAAAAATAAAAATAAAAAATAAATGTTATGGTGGTGCTTAACACGGTATCAGTTTAGTCGAACAATAAACTACACAACGCATATCGTGTTTAAGTACTCAGTCTAATATTTATTGCAAATGTATGATTCCACATTTCCAATTTAAATAGAAGATAATAATGATGTAATAATAGTTTGCATTCTGCATGCGTTCCTTTGCGTTTTGAAATTTACAATAGCTTCACTGCTCACCATCTGGCGTTGGCGAAATAGAATGAATAATACCGTCGAAACCCACAATAAATAACCGCTATTACCACGGGGAGATTGCGCGTAAATTACACGAGTTGCGCGCACCCACAAACGACTGTCAACCCCATGATAGTCAGTTTATTTGTAATTAAAACTTTAAAGATTGATTTACACCTGGGGACACTTAGTTACGAGACTGCAGACAACCAGCTTATCGAGTGTCAGGGTGAAACGCATTAAGATAGGTGATATCATAAAACTTGCGCAGATGTTTGTGCGGCTAGTGCACCGTTAGAGGCGACGACTTTAAATAAAATTCGAGCAGATCTTTTGCAGGTGACAGGATAAAAACTAGGCACTAATAAATATAACATCCCGAATTTGATGAATAAAACGTACATTCGGATTGAATGAGGAAAGCGCATGCGTGACAATCACACTAGTATTCACATTATCCACAATGTCGCAGAAACGTTAATGTCAAAAAAAAGTTAACAAAACGGCTTCATGTCCGGCACAATTAAATATATCAGTCCGCAATTAAAAACTCGTGAACAAATTCTGAGAAAAGTCTCAGTATCATCCTGTATCACGACAAAAAAAAAATTTGTATGTACACATCACATCGGGTTTCAAGCAATTTCTAAATCGTGGGTCTAAGAAAATAGTTCGCTCCCAATTTGCATGCGTAGTTGTATTTTTCTGAGTGACAAGTTATCGGGGTAATCATCCGCGAACCTTGTGGCAGACTACCGACAATATGGAACGTGTGCTAGAAGTCTGGTAGGAAATTTACTATCTGTTGGCTCACCGAAGATTTAATAAGATTTGCAACCTAAAATCGCCTGCAGCGGAAGAGCTTAAACAAGTTTTACAGATACAGAAAATCTGCAGCATACTCGTTAATAAAATCAGGAACTACGGTCTTCAAATTACGTAGACATAAATCGTCGAATCCGTAACCTTGAAAACAAAAATCACGGAATGACTATAGTAAATTGCCTCAATGACTGTGCCCTAGTATTCATCCGTATTCAAATGTCATTATTACGTGGTGACCCCATTCACCTTTAAATGTACGCCATTGGGGACATTTGTTTCTGAAATTAAAAACATGCGAACCCAGAAGCATTGTTGGTTTATTTTTGTATGTGATTTGCAAACGTTAAACATACCGGAATAATAGTAATTTGTAGTATAATAGTAACGTGGACAAATGAACGATTCCTATGAAACAGCGTGGCCATCATTTTTATTCGCTATTTTTAGATTTTTTTTTTCACGATTAAAGCGCCATAATCATCGTACTACACCGTATTCTATATGAGTTCAATGTGATAAATAAATAAATAAATAAATAAATAAATAAATAAATAAATAAATAAATAAATAAATAAATAAATAAATAAATAAATAAATAAATAAATAAATAAATAAATAAATAAAAACAATTTTACACGCGTTCAGACGTCTTATGGGACCAACCTCAAGCACGATCGACGCGGTGCCACAACTATAATTTCACCCAAAAAAACACCACAAAAGCCTTGGTATTAGGCTTAGTCTGTTGCACGCTATTTGTGATAGTCAGCTCAACAACTCAGACCCAGTCGTGTTTAACGCTATTAGTCCAGATGAAATCATGTAAGCAACTCGTGTATCCTAGCACCATTCTATAGGTCCATATTAAGAGTTGAATTTAGGGAAAACAATTGGAACGAGAAAAAAGAAAACTGACGTTAAAACATTTAATTAAAGTGGGTCAATCTAGAGTAATACGTCAATGTCAAGGCTAATAGTATATTATACCCCGGGGCAGAGGGATTAGCTAGAGGCAGAGGGATCAACAATATACGTGGAATAAATTGCGTTTGGTGATTAATGCCATACACTAAACTATGGTGTTCTCGTGACTGTTTTTCCAGGTGAATTAATTTCATTAAAAAGCCTGGTTAGTTGAATACCGTGGTTTCAGTGATTTGAACCGTCATAGATGGAAAAAAAAGGACCTCCCATGTTTGGCGTTAACGTAAACAGTCATTGTAGAGTTATTATGTAGGTCAGCACGAGTCTGATTAGCTATCGAGAAACGAGTGTTTGAAAACCGTGACCTGCTTGAAATCGAATCACAATGCCAATCTAAATGGCGGTTGTTGCTGATCACTTTTTGTCAAATAAAATAATAAGCCGATATGCTCATATCGACATCGTCTGACTCGTCGATAACCTTGAGTGTCCTTGACATAAAATGAAGGGTATTTTTAAAGCGCAATTCTCAAATCCTTGCTTGAGGAAGATTGTATATTATGCGCTTCGATTCTGCGCACTAAACATTCAAATGCAACGCTCTATGTTGTCTATATTATCGAACTCGGTTATCGGTTGTGGCTTAAAACAATTGTTTTACTTCCAACGTATAATCCATATTTTGGACCATGAGGAATGGTTTAGACGAGATGAAATGCATTGGAGAAGATGGAATGCGCTGGGTGAGGTGGAATGCTTTGATCAAGGTGGAATACTTTGGACGGGGTGGAAAGCCTTGAATGAGATGGAATGTCTTGAGCGAAGTGGAATGGGTATAATTTGAATTATGAATATAAAGTTGCTGATTTACATAAATGTATATGACATATTGTAATGAAATCGCGTGACGTCATTTCGCGTCAAGTTTTCGTAAGATTCGGCCCGTCGAACCCCGAACAGTACCCAAATTGACTTAAATTTGACAAATCTGTCAAGTTCTGGCACGAATTTGAAGCCGAATTTCTATGAGATCTTCACCGGAGTCACACAGGTTCCAGGCACATTATTTCATTCACATCTGGTACCATATCCTAAAACTGTCACGTGTTTAATCATGTTTGTATCAGACTAATTTGCTCTTCAACACACGATCCTCGTTCCCAACGCTTTTTACATTTTCACATTTTACCCAATGGCACGTTTTAGTATGATCTTGGGTTTTCTGTTGGCGAGGGTTGCCTGGGAGACTCATAATATTTTGCTCAACGTTCAACTGGTTGGATTATCACTGATCGGTGCGTATGGGAGGGTGGGGAACAACATGAAAGTAGACAAAAACATAAATTGCATAGCAACTTCTAACTTAGCCACTTCCGAGAAGAAATAATACCCTCTAGCGCAACCGGAAATGACGTTCTATAATTCGATAGTGCAGGATAATCCTCGTTACAACATCTGTGGCGATGTGCTATATGAAAGCTTTGCTATATGTCAAGAAATGGGCCGTGTGCGGATTCTGAAGATCGATTGCACCAAAATCCCCTGTGGCAGTCTCCATCAGTTAGGCAACATGATAGCAAAACATACGTTTATATGTCGTTTGATGATGTACCGTGTTTGTATGTGTGCCTCGTCTTTTGCCAGTATTGGTCCGTGTTTTCAATCGCAGTAATTGCATTGAAATATCATCTAGTATTACCTATTCGGTTTCAGTTTGGGGCATCTAAACGATTTTGTTTTATTTTCTTTGTTCATGCAAAGACATTAGACATTTTCTATTGTCTTTGGTTACTGTCAACAAATGAACACACAGTGTAGTTTACTTGCGTTGTATACGTCTCGTGGGTCTCATCGAATAGGACGCGGAGATACGACTAGGACGCATTAATAATAGTATCATCAAGACTATATCGCCAATCAGGCTTACAAAGCCCTACTCGGAATACATGTTCAAATGTGCTATTACAATGACCTTTACGTATGCTATTCGTATTGTATTCGCGGCAATCATGCGAGCGGCATGGAAGTCGTGTAAAACTAACGACCCTTAGGTTTCAATGATGATGGCAATCGCAAATTTAAATGCAAGCAGCCCCAGCCTGTCACGGTAAATATCATTGAATACGTGGATTGCTATAGAACATCGGTTTGCTATACGTATGTGTGCACGGTTTGTCACGTGACAACGGTAGCAGGTGTTAGTATTTACGTATTAACCATCGTTCCGTGTTTCCCGCTCGCATGATCTGCTGTCTGACACGACGGATTTGTGTCACAAACATATCATAAATGGCGATATGAGTACACTGATCGTGATGCGACACCCAGTAATTTAGGAGCCTTTCCCGCTCAAAACGGAAAGTATCGTTCGTTCTTGCAACTTCTGTGCTTTATTTTCAAACGCCGATGCGTTCAAATTGGTGCCGAGTAACCTATATCTGGTGTATCATAACATAGGCCATGTTTGGTAGAAACACGTCGTCATCGAAACTCGGAATCCGGAATTTCCTGCCGGAGTTTCGAGTTGCCGCTTGCAAGGCCGTCCGTCACGGTATTACAAATCATTTTGTTATCAATACTAGTATACTGTTTGAAGTTTGTTTCTTTAAATCCCGCGCCTACCACCCGATGTTTATTGGTATTCTGCGCACATCCGTTTTTCACGACTGTGAAAATTGTTACTCCTCGTGTGACCGCGTTGTGCCATGATGGCCCGGGTATCGTATTATTGGTATTCTGCGCACATCCGTTTTTCACGACTGTGAAAATTGTTACTCCTCGTGTGACCGCGTTGTGCCATGATGACCCGGGTATCGTAAATTACCGAGTGGTCTTCTTGAATCTTTTTTTTTCATGTTTCAGACTTATCTAAAGACGACCTTTATCATGCCTTTCGCGAGTTTGATCGTAACCATGACGGTTTTATATCCATTGACGAACTGAGACGAACAATGAAGAAGCTGGGAGAAAAAATCACAGAGGACGAACTGCGTGAAATGATGAGAGAAGCAGACCAAGATGGCGACGGAAGAGTGAATTACAGAGAATTCGTAAAAATAATACGAGCAGAAGATATTCTAGATAACCATACAGGTGAGCCTGTTAAATCAGCATGAAATATTTATAGCATATAGTGGCAATGGAGGATATTTGATAGCGGATGCCAGACCGCTCTGAAGAAAATTAGCATATTTGACGGAAAAATAATCACCAAGCGTAGATTCGAATCTAAAAATAAATATATTCAGTATCGAGACAGGAACGTAATTTTACGTCATCTAATACCATCATACATCCGTAAGCAGATGATTAGCATATTGCAATGCATACTATTCGCTGGAAAACTGAGTAGCCATGATAAATCACTTATAATAACACCCTACTTGACAGCTTCAGTTTTCCGAGAAAAGGAATTGGTCATCATCGTAAAATTCAGACCCTTAGCGACGCATGATGGTTGTCGGTGGACAAGAGTGACACTGAGATACGCCGTGTATGTGCGTGGCAGTGATGTAGAGAAGGAATGATAATCACAACATTACCTGATGTGAACACAGTCGTTATTATTGTTTGATAAATATTTCTGTTGTTGTTTGCGTTGTTTGTAATGAATTACGTCGGTGATTGTGTTACTCGCGAAACGGTGCGCGAAGCGTTTACCAAACATGGCGCATGTCAGTTTACCTACGTACTACGAGGAACCGCCGCTATTTGAAAGATACCATGAATAAATTGAATTATTTTAACATGCGTATTTTAATGAAAGGAGTCGGAATGGAACAGCAGTGGATCGCTGTGATCTCTGATTCGGTCTACTTAAAACACACTGGAACCTAATACACGTTTGGGGGGCGTTTCATTAGCCAGAAAGCTTCCTATGACATAAAGGCACGGAAGAGCATGTGACTGAAGCACGTTATCGTTATGAATGCATGTAATGTTCATTTCATTTCATAAGCGTGGGGCGTTCTTGTATGGTGCCGCTTGAGAGAATGGTCACGATCATTTTTCCATGTCTGGCGACTACCGTCGTCAGCTAAGTGCGTCATGAATGCATTCAGCAAGAACGTTTCCCTCCTATAATGGCACTTTGTCACTTCCAAAATAGATATAATGGAGAGGGTTGAAGGGAAGACGTTGTCGGTGACAAAATCAATCAGTCGATTAAAGTTATACTAAAAATTAGTTATCTAAAATGGCAGTTTCCATAGAAACTCGTTAGCAGCCCGAGTCTTAAAAATGGTCGCGTTGGTATCGTGTAGTCGAACATTTCTGCGTTTTAATCAGCATTTTAAATTAATATTCATTAATACTATCTTATCCGTAGCCTTATTTTGTTTTATTTGACTTGTCCAGGCAGATAGATGTGTTCACGTCCATGTAAGAAGTTCGGCGTACTACACCCGGCCTGTTCTATAAGTCGAGCCCTAACATTAATACTATCTTATCCGTAGCCTTATTTTGTTTTATTTGGCTTGTCCAGGCAGATAGATGTGTTCACGTCCATGTAAGAAGTTCGGCGTACTACACCCGGCCCGTTCTAGATCTATAAGTCGAGCCCTCAAGCGACGAATCGCTATGATGTAAGTGTGTAAAAGGACGCCGCAGTGTCGATGTTGCTTTGATTTGTGGTCGTCTCGTTGTGCACGTCAAAGAAACACATCGTCAAGTAAAGGCGCTATTATTCGTTTGATTAATTTCAAGTTTTTGTTTTTTGTAACACATCGTTCCTCTAAGTCGCGCCCGCTAGCGACGATGTGTTTCTGTGACGCAAGTGTGTATAAATGGCACCGCTCATTGCGTAAATTCTGTTTTGATGTGTAGTAATAATAACAAATACCGTTTACAGATTTGCTATTTCCTAATTGAAGAATGACTACACAACGAAACACAAATGTCGCTTTGAACTACATTGCTGTGTTACCCACGTGTGTCATTTTTGACGTCACGGTAGGCTTTGTCGCTTGAGGGAGCAACTTCTAGGCGAGGTCAGTTGAAGTTTAATTGCAAGATTCGAGATGATGTTTGTGTGTTTTTGTACGAAGAGGGTTAATCTTATAAAGATCGGTGGTCGTCGCGGCTGCATGCGCAAGCTCGATATGGACCTCATACGACGTATGGCAAAATGGTTTAAATGGGTACTGTATTTAAAATATAAGAATAAACCGTTATTATTACTACTACGATGTGTCTTACACGTTTTTATACGACACATTGGGCCATATCGTACACGACGCCTTGCGACGACCACCGCCCTTTAAGATTTGGGCAATTGTATATAACAATTAACTGTCATATTAATTATCATAATTGTTCCGAAATTCTGTTTTGTTATTGCTAGTGGATAATGGTCCTGCCGATCTCATGGAGGTTTTTCAGGATATTGACGTTGACGGGAACGGATATATTACAGCGGACGAGTTACGCGGGGCTTTGGCGAAAGTGCCCGACACTTACACGGAAACTGACATTGAACAGATGATGGAAGAGGCTGACATTGACGGAGACGGCCAGGTCAATTACATGGAATTTTTGAGAGTCACACGGAAACATTGACGCCAAGACAACGAAGGTTTTCTGCAAACCAGATTATTGGTGGCGCTGTTTAAAAACAACGCGTCGAATTCACACCGAATTTCTCGTAAGGACCAAAACGAAATGGCAGATTTTCATCTATTTGGAAAATATTCATTTCTCTATCTTCGCCTGGGAATTCTTTCGCAACCAGCCTCTCAAAGTTTAAAATATGTCGACATACAACGCGTTTACTCGCCATCTAATTCACCAACACCGGATGGGAGTAACTCGAATGACGTGCAGTGTCTAAGCAGACTGGCAGTCAACCGGTAAAAATGCGCCGTTACTATAGTCACGCCCTCTCGCGACGAAGGCCAATTGTGACGTTAATGGGAGCAATGAACGATATCGATATCGTAAATATGTTTATATTGTGATTATTTTTAAAAATATTCTGTGTTCAATGACGAACGATTACACAACCAATTCACAGTTTTCGTCGACATGTCCCACGCCCGTTTGCGTCATGTTCAGGTCACGGAAGCGTTTTGTCGATAGAGGGCGTGACTAATTGAAATCGACTTTAGGGTTTTACTGTTTGTGAATATGCCAAACCTATGTGACGTCATGGTTTTATTCTTGCAGGAAATGTTCGTTCTCCAAAGTTCAAAGTTCAATGCTATCAGGGAGTATACTACATGACTACGTAGTGAAAAATACGAAACAATGTCAATTAATAACCCATTGTGAGCCTAAATCTTACGGAATTCTGTCTGAATACATTGTGTGCAGTGTTCTGGAAATCAATTTTAAGAAGCCCTGGTTACCGTTGAAAACGACGGCGAATCTCCGTGATTATTACGATGTTGCGGGCGCTTTTACTCTGTGTATAAACAGGCGCACACTAAAAAGACAATCTCCCTAATAGCTGTACAATGGTGATCTTGTATGCAAATTTATATTTTACCGCTTTTGCTCAAAGGTTAATAAAACTTATCCCGGTACAACTCCGGTACAACTGGCGAAGTTATGGTGGTCGTTATATATTGAAACAGTTTGTTCTAACTTGCAGCCGATGAATTTGACTTCAAATTTTCGTTACGCAATTAGTCCAACAACTATTATCGCCAGAATCAGATGAAATATGCAAAAATGAGATGAATGTTCACAACAACCCACTACGTTAAAAGTGCCCTCTGTCGACAAGCCATGTGTTTTTCCACTTCATTTGCACTTCATTTGAATTGCCGGGCGGGTGTGGTAGTACATTTTAAATCGTATACTGGAGTTTTGTACATACTATGAGTGTGGGTTTTTTACCACATGTATGTTTTTTTTTCTGTCACTATTCAGTAATCTCGCCAATTTATGTAGTTTTGCTTACATTCGGGTTTACACCATTCAAAAATATGATGCATTATGGTCGCTCAACCAAATGACTTATGGGTAAAATGGCCACATGTACGTTGCATTCGAAGAAACCGGTCGACAATATCATGCTCCTTGATTATTTGAGGTAAGACAAAGAAAAGTCGAGAACATCACGATGACGTAATGTCCAAACGAGACTGGGCACAGTACAGTACAAATTCAATTAATCTATTCGTTTTTCTCTTAAATGTATATATACATATATTTGAGGTTATATATATATATATATATATATATATATATATATATATATATATATATATATATATATATATATATATATATATATATATATATATATATACAGCACAGTGTGTCGACGCGGTTGGATATTGTTGAAAATGATGGTCGTTGCGCACCAAGCGTACGAATGTAAACAAACAATTATTTCAACACTACGATAAAGACATTTCATTTCCGACATTGTGAAATTGACAAGAAAATTCATGAATATGTAAAGCATAACAAAATGTTTTTTATATTCACACCGATGTTCATGATAATGTTCATGATTACCGATCACGCAAGAATAATTTGCTGTATTCTCTATATTTTTGTTATAACTCAAAGAATCTGAATGAAATTAGAATCTATGTAGTGTATGTATGAATAATAAATTTGATAAATATTAATTTATTCGGTAGAACTACTGTATTTTTCTACATAAAAACGAAAAGATTTCACAATGTCGGAAACAGAAAATCTTTATCGTATTATTTTTTTACACGCGATGTATACGTCGCATGAACCCACTCAACGTAAATAGATATTGGTTGTATTTCGAACTTTGTCTTGTCTCACACCAAGAATCTTCTCATTATACCACCCCATGACGTCGCACTGCGTCGTTTTCGATACGGGTTCCTGTGACGTAGACGTCGCGTGTGAAACAAACCTCAGACTAGTGATACATTGTATTACTAGTCTGAGAATAAACACGCACACGAAATCATACGCGAGTTGTGCACCGATTGGTCGTGCCCATTGATGTATTGTTTGTCATGCGTTATTTTTTGAATGACAAAGTGAAAACTTTAAAGCTCTGTTAAATCTAAGTTTTTAAAACATATAAGCAAAATCATAACATTTTTGTTTTATTCTGTAAATATACCGACTTTATTAATATAATATATGATGAGCTAAAACAATTGAGAACACTAAAACGTTATTCAACAACACAGTATGAACCAAGAGAAAGAGATTTTGCGAGATATCGTGCCGACCAAGCTTCAAATAACCCGATACGTACGCTTACATCTCATGCGTACGGTAATCGACAATGTGTCACATCAGATCAATATCCATATAGTATTGTATATTTCAAATCAAGTGAAATTTATGTAATGGTGCAGGTTTTTTTTTTCATTTGCACATATGGTATTTCCATTGATGAGATATGGCGTGAAACTTACTCATGTCTGCATGTAATTTTGGCGCAATGTACTTGGTTTCTTAAATGAGCTGTGCCTACAGTAATGTTTGCAGTGTGTATTTATTATTATCTGTTTCATAGTGGTGGTGGACTTGCTCTCAACCAAATATGATGGCACCGCAAAGTAAACTATTTGCACCTATTTTTTTGCGATTATATAGATATGTGCACCGGGATCATGGCTATGTCAGTCGAAAAATTGACTGAAGCTGACCCACATCCACTTGTTAAGGCTGTGTGTTACTCAAAACAAGGGGTACTGTTTCATAATAGAGCGCCACAGTCGTCGACGGCGTCGTGTTCGATGTGGGTCCCATGAGACATAAACAACGCGTGTAAAATACAATTTGTTTGCTTACACGGAATTCGGACACGATGCTGCACGAATCCTGTGTTGCTCTAACGTGATATTAGAATATCCAAGCCTTATTTTATTATTTCAGTGAGATTTGGGTGAAAAACAACAGAGTTACAAAATATACAATAAATAAAATAAGATGGGTCAATTTACCAACATATTGGTGCTTATAAAATTTGGTTTGACTTAATTTTTGGGACAAACAATAAAGATAAATGTATGCTTACTAAAACTTGGTGTGAACAAAAACCACATCTTCACATTGCCGTTTCATTATAGTGTTAATCCTTTAGCTTCTACAACAATAAACATGGAAATCTAATGTTGTCGTTGGCGGCGCTTCAATTATTACACCAAGATTTTTGCTTAAAAATAACAACTGATTTGGAACTAATATTCATCCCTTCTTAATGGTCATTTCACATTGTAAATAAAATTTGTTTAATTTTGTAAAGAAAGTTATTTGTGTGCTGTCTATCTTTTCAACTGTCCGTTCAAAAAGGAGTGGATATCTTTTCATTTGGGGTGAGGTCAACGAATTGTTACATACATCTATTAGATGATCAAAATAGCTGATACACGTAATAAATATGATTTGAGTGATAACACACGAACGTAAGTTAGCTGTTATACCATGTAATGTGTTCGTGGGTAGGCTGATTTAGCACGTAATATGTTCGTGAGTAGGCTGATTTAACACGTAATATGTTCGTGAGTAGGCTGATTTAACAAGTAATATGTTCGTAAGTAGGCTGATTTAACACGTAATATGTTCGTGAGTAGGCTGATTTAACACGTAATATGCTCGTGAGTAGGCTGATTTAACATGTAATGTGTTCGTGAATAGGCTGATTTAACACGTAATATGTTCGTGAGTAGGCTGATTTAACACGTAATATGCTCGCGAGTAGGCTGCTTTAACACGTAATATGTTCGTGAGTAGGCTGATTTAACACGTAATATGTTCGTGAGTAGGCTGATTTAAAATGTAATATGTTCGTGAGTAGGCTGATTTAACACGTAATATGTTCGTGAGTAGGCTGATTTAACCCGTAATATGTTCGTGAGTAGGCTGATTTAACACGTAATATGTTCGTGAATAGGCTGATTTAACTCGTAATATGTCCGCTAGTAGGCTGATTTAACACGTAATATGTTCGTGAGTAGGCTGATTTAACTCGTAATATGTTCGTGAGTAGGCTGATTTAACACGTAATATGTTCGTGAGTAGGCTGATTTAACTCGTAATATGTTCGTGAGTAGGCTGATTTAATACGTAATATGTTCGTGAGTAGGCTGATTTAACACGTAATATGTTCGTGAGTAGGCTGATTTAACACGTAATATATTCGTGAGTAGGCTGACTTAATACGTATTATGTCCGTGAGTAGGCTGATTTAATACGTAATATGTTCGTGAGTAGACGGATATAACACGTAATATGTTCGTGAGTAGACGGATATAACACGTAATATGTTCGTGAGTAGACGGATATAATACGTAATATGTTCGTGAGTAGGCTGATTTAACACGTAATATGTTCGTGAGTAGGCTGATTTAACACGTAATATATTCGTGAGTAGGCTGACTTAATACGTATTATGTCCGTAAGTAGGCTGATTTAATACGTAATATATTCGTGAGTAGGCTGACTTAATACGTATTATGTCCGTGAGTAGGCTGATTTAACACGTAATATATTCGTGAGTAGGCTGATTTAATACGTAATATATTCGTGAGTAGGCTGATTTAATACGTAATATGTCCGTGAGTAGGCTGATTTAATACGTAATATATTCGTGAGTAGGCTGATTTAAT